TCAAGATCCTAATGTCTGAAAAGGAAAGTTTGAGAAATAAAAATGTATGCGTATATAGTCCTCATTGGGTCTCAGCATAAGGCTAAGAGGACAGGAATACAAAATTACACACTTTTTTTCAGAATACATACAACTTTTGCATGGGATCAGTTACAAGGTTGAGCCCAAACATCTCCAGACCTCAGTCTGCTACCTGTTGACTGGGGATAAATAGGTATAAACATGTGAGCACACACCTCGCGTAGTGGTTGCAGTATTTAAAGGGCGTTGTGAAATGCTCAGAAGCAATAAAATAACAAAACTAAGTACAAAGAAGAAAATGGCTAACGTGCTTATTTCTATTAAAATCTGAGTTGATGTCAGAGCGTTTCAAAAAATTCTTACTCAACAACAAAATCTCTATAAATGATCTGATTCTCCATTAAGGTATAATTAGCTTTTAAAAGTGAGTTAAACAGCTAAAGAACCAAATGTTCTCCCACATGAACAATAACTAAATGGAAATCGGTATGATCTGCTCAAACCTGGAACATGAGAGATCTGGTTTCAAGCCCTGGCCCTGCTGCAGATCTGCTATGTATAGATAGAATAAGGCCTGAATATTAGTTGGTTTGGTAATGAAATAGGATGGTAATACTCAGACTTGTAATTATGTACAATTAACAGTAATTATTATTGTTAAACCATCTCTTGAAAATTTGTAACAAACTGCTGTTAACAATGGTTTTAATATGTATCATTACCATCCTTAGACCTTTTTATCATCCCTAGACCTTTTTACACTGCATTAATGAAAAACACTGTTTAACAATGGCTAGTACCTAACCACAACCTTATTTTAATGTTGTCTCTATGTGTTAAAAAAATGTAACTAACATGCCAAAGGGACAAAGCTAGAGATCTGTTAAGTATGGTTTGTCTTAACTAGTCCTACAGCACAATTTCACAAGGTTTGTTGCCAAACATAGCAGCTGATCAAAGAAGTCAGAAAGTGCACATGTTCATGCTGTCAATCACAAGACAATCACACAGCTTGGTGCTGCTATCTGTGCGTTGGAGTATCACTGCAGCCAAGTTGAATTCCTATGGTTAGAGATATGTAAGCAATAGAGAATCATAGATCTATGTAAGCAGTAATGGACTTTTGACAATTTACCCAGTAGTTAATATTAATTTAGCTGTAAAGAAAGCCTGAATATTCACTAAACTGTAGGATTCTGTGTAGAGCCGTGACTCAGATGTGGATATCTTACATAATCTCTGGGCAGGTCACTCAATCTGTCTTACCTTCTCCTCCCACTGGAAAAAATATTTAGCTTCTCCTGACCTATGTCTGCTCTGACTGTTTAGACAGCAGTCTACTTGACACAGGGACTGTTTTTTTACACAGACAGTCAAGTATTTACTTGTGACCTATGAAAGGTACTGACACAGAAATATTGCGTATTTAAAATACTAAGCAAAACTCAATGCCGTGCAGAATAATTACTGGATTCTATTTAAATTTTATTTTTCTGACAGAGATAGCCCATTGCATGCAATCAATTAGTATTGTATGTTTGAAAAGATCTCTCTCCCTGCAAAGCTGCATAGTAGCATCAGCAATTATAAAATATTATTCTTTGATTTGTAGGATCTCACAAATTCCAAAGTACTTTGTGCTTCGCAGGTTTAGGCGACTGTTCCAGATCAGCAGTTCCTAAATAGCAGTGATTCATGGAGAGTTATTCCATTGATTAGCAGTATGAAATCATTTGAGAAAGCAACTACTAGAATGTAGTTTAAAGGAGTAAAACAGAAGGTTAAAAAAAAAAGAGAGAAAAGGTAGCCTAAAGCAGCAACTTCCTCACAAAGCAGAAATCTTGTCCTATTCCATTCCTCTTCATAGGGAGCTATCTTCTTAAATATACCAAATAGCTCATTTTTTTGAACTAGCAATCTTAATTTTTAAAAGTCTTGTCAAATACAATTTTAACAATAATCAATGAATTAATGCAATCATTGTATCTATAAGTAACTTACACAGTTCCTTCTACATCTGTTTGACCACAGATCAAGAAACATCTAGTTAGTCTAATTTTGTTTTACTTTTGTGGACTAATAAAGTCCAAGCACATTTTTCCTAGAGAGATGCATTCTTCTTCCAGACTGCTAAGCTGGGGCTGCAGGAGAAACAGGACTGATTTCTTCAGTCACACAGCACACAGTGTTATTTGCAATATTTTATTCACATCTGTGCACACATTCCTCAGCTACTAGCATACAGGAGAAAAAATGTCAAATCTCTTTGATCTCTGCAATCTGCCATTAAAAAATGGAAGCATTCAGTCATTAAATTCACATTGAGAATTAGAAGTTACTCAACAAGTAGAAAAATCATTACATTATGGAAAAAAGTGCACTACTTTGACTTTGAACTACAACAAAACTTAACAATAAAGAAATGAAAATCATAAACTCATTACCTCTATATCAATATGGCCAGCAATAAATAACACTACTTTTGCAACACTGAGCTTTTAAAATAATCGTGTATATTTTCATTCTTTAATAACACAATTCATCTACTTTGGAAAAAACAAAAACAAAAACACCTACAATCATAAAAAACAAACTACCCACTAAAGAAAACTTCTACCCACAATGAAGTCCACCTACCTACATGCCTCTAAGTGTTGGTGTTTTACAGGAATCAGTCACTGTACCTCTCTCTCCTTCAGTCCTCCATCAGCTGTTCCAGTTACAGAAAGGAAGATGAGCTCTGCAATCAGAACCTTGAGTTAGCAGAAGGAATGATGCAGTGCAGTCTCCTTAGTGGTCTGACAGGTTTGTTTTTCTGCCTATTTTATGTATTGAACAGGGGTAAGGCCTGGGAGAAACAAGAATCGTACAATGCCTTAGGTTGGAAAGGACCTTAAAGATCACCTAATTCCAAACTCTGCCATGAGCAGGGTTACCACCCACCAGCTCAGGCTGCCCAGGGCCCCATCCAGCCTGGCTTTGAGCACTTCCAGGGATGGGGCATCCACAGCTTCTCTGGGCAGCCTGTGCCAGTGCCTCACCACCCTCTGAGTAAAGAATTTCTTCCTCATGTCTAACCTAAATCTCCCCTCTTAGTTTAAAGCCATTCCCCCTTGTCCTATCACTATTAGACTCTGTAAAAAGAAGATGGTATGTCTGTACATCTAAAGCACCTGGAATCTGGAGGACCCTCTAGAATAAGGATATTATGGGGGCTAAACATATTTTAAAATCTAAACTTTAACTTTTTCTTCCTTGACAAGAACTGTAATCTGCTGAAATAAAATAAATACAAAATAAAAAAGCATTTGGAATAACAATTGTTTCACTGTTTTAGACTTTTAAGTAATCAATGCTTCTTCGTACATGGTGACCGTCTAATTTATCAGCCATGGCTCCTGCACTTCTTGGGGTATCTTTCCTACTAGCAACCTATCCTCAAAATTAAGTTTTATTCCTTTTCCTCACCAGTCTCTGTCCTAGCCATGTCTTTATTCAGGTTTTCTTCCTCATCGCAATTGGGGAAAACTGAAATAACTTAGTAAGGACAACAACACCTATGTTAGCAGAAGCAGTAGTTTGCTCTAGAATGAACGTTGAGATACACTTCCTTGGGACAAACAGTAAAACCTCTGATAAGATCTGATCTTCTCTCAGGCACCATGGTGTGCTTTACTGCCTCTACCAGATATGGATTGGCAAGTTACAGCAATCTTGAAAACATCTCTAGGATTGTGTGTCACAAGGAGAGGTCTTTTGCAGTATTGCTTCTACGGGACTTTCTATCAGATGCCTTGAAGGCAGGGTTAATAGGACTAAAAACAGGGTCCAGAAGCAGTATCTGAACACAGCCATGAGATGAGGAGATAGGCAGCAGTGTGATACCAATCTCCCCAGCTGGCTATGAGGTGATGCAGCGCTGCCACATGAGGTAGATGGGGAGCAGCCACAGAACACGATTCTTTCCAGCAATTTTACAAGTCCAAAAATTGGGAGGGAGAAGAAACCCCATTTTCCATTCTCCTAATTAACTGCAGTTAAAAACCGATTGAGATCTGTGCTAAATAAACCGTTTGACAGGGCTGGCTTGTCGTTTAGTCTAACAAAAGCGTCTGCATCTCCTGGAATTCACCTCAGCTTTATGCGACTGAAGAGACGCTCCCTTAGATCGCTCAGAGACCGTTTTTCTCAGCTCGCCTTAATGGAAGGCTCATTGAGGAAACATCCCTCAACGTTCCTAAAATCCTTCCACGTGAGCTTATCGCCTCCTTTGGAAGTCGCACCTCTGCCCACGGCAGCCGCTCCGAGAGAAGCGCGGGCAGCCGCGCGCTGCCACTGCTGCGCTGTCAGCGCTGCCGAGGGCGGGGACGGGCACGGGTCAGCCCAGCAGGCGCTCCCAGACCCGCAACCGCTGACGCGAGGCGGGCCGACGCGGGGTAAGGCCAAAGCAAGGCGGAATCTCCCGCGTTCCAGCGGGCCCCACCCGCGGCTCCGGCGGCCGCGAGGAGCCAAACTTCATCGGGCGGGCGGGCGGCTCCGGGCCGCCTCCGCGCGCTCATTCGGAGCGGGTGACATCAGGCGCGTCACGTGCCGCCCGCCGTCACGCCGCGCGCGGGGCGCTCCTCCGCCAATCCGGTGGCGCTGGTGCCGGCCGAGTGCGCCGTTCCGCCCGGGGCCGCCGGCCAATCCCTTCCGCCGGCGGAGGAGGGACTTCCGCCGGGAGCCGGAAGCGGGTCTCTCATGCGAGCGGGTGGTTGAGTCTCGGCTCGGAGACGTTTCGGGCCCCGCAGCCGCCGCCGCCGCCTCCTGCCCCGCGCCCCCCCTCCCGCTGTGCTGCCGCCGCCCGCGCCTCGTCCCGGCCCCGCCCCGTGCTCCGCTCTCCTCCTCCCGGCATCCGGCGGCGGCGAGGCCCCGGCGGCGGCGGCGGCGCGGCGAGAGGCCCCGGCGCCAGCGGAAAGCCCGGCGGCGGCGAGAGGCCCCGGCGCCCGGCGGAGACCCCCGCGCCCGCCCCCCTTCTCCCCGTCGAGGCTCGGCCCGAGGGCGGCGGCGGCTGTGACAGGTGAGCGCGAGGGGCCGCGGGGCCCGTCTGCGGCGGGAGGGAATGGCGGAGCCGGGGGCCGCGGGCCCCTCCAGGGCCGCCCCTCGCGCCCCGGGGAGGCGGCCGGAGCCGCCATCTTCTTACCCGAGGCGGCTCCCGGGGGAGCGGGAGGAGGAGGAGGAGGAGGAGGAGGAGGAGGCGGGAGGAAGAGAAGGAGGAGGCAGCCGCCGGCTCGGGGCCTGGCTGGCGGCGGGACAGGGCGAGGCGCCGGGCCCGGCCTCCTCGGTGACGGAGCGGCAGCCGGGGGAGCGCTGCTGTGAGGCCGGCAGGGAGCCGCGGGAGGGCAGGCCGAAGGCACCGCGACGCGGCCGTGACCCCTTCCCGAGGAGCGCGGCTGGAGCGAGGCGGGAACGGGCGGTGCCAGCCCCTCGCTGGGAGCTGCGCCCCGAAGAGGTGAAGGGGCTGCGCCGGAGCCGTGCGGGTTGCGGAGCGCAGGAGAGCCGCCGCACGGAGCGTGTTTTGCACCTGGGATTCAGTTGTTGTTGGGCCTTGCTGGCTGCTGTCGCCGAGCTGTTTTCACTCTCAGTTTCAGTTTGTGCAGATGCTCGAAATTACTACGTAGCTTTGCCCACGGTTTAAACAGATGTGTGCTTGCCAAACAATGTTGTACGAGATTCCTCCATGGCAGATAAGTATAATTATTTATATTCTGCAGGTAATGGAATTGAGGCGAAGTGGTTAAGGCTTGCCTATGGCCACAGAAAGAGTTGGTTTCCAAACCACTATTTAAACTTGAGTCACAGTTGGGGTGAAATTGTAGCAGTTCTGTTTTCCAGCCTCATGTCTGGCTCTGGCCTGGTTTTGGTGGCCACATCTGAATCTTCAACGAAGTTCTTACAGCAGTGCCTTGGGATCATTGCTGCAAAGCATTAACCTTTCACGTGGTTTAATTTTTATGTAAATCTTATCTGGTTTGAAAGGATTGGATAATTTTTAAAAGGTCAAAGTATGTTTTGTTCTTTTTCCTAACTTGTTAGGATTTCACAACTCCAGGATTTTGATTTGGATCTGGAACTTTTTATCAGTTGAACTTTCACTTGTTTCCTGCTGACTTGGAAGCTGTTCTTCTGGTTAATTCTTAAGATATGGAACTAATCAGCTTATTCGCTCTGGCGATTAAAATGACATTGATGTTTTCTATTGGATATTATGTGTTGTGGGCAGGGAACAGCAAAAGAAAACTAAGGTATGGCCCGATGTGGTGAATACAGAAATAGAATGCTTTCTTTATATGTAATGTCTACAGAAAATTTTAATCTGCTAGGTGTGTTGCTGTTTTTATGGATTAGCAGTTTATGCAAATAGCCAAAATCAGTGTTGTATTTAATTGGTCTCATATCTGGAGAAGGAGTAATATTCCTTGTTGCCACTGAAATATAAAGTTTGTATAAATGAGTTTTTAAGAAACATTTGACCTCTAGGATATTCCCAGACAAGTGATTGCAAATTTTTTTGGTATTAAATTGGGTCCTTGTTTGTAAATAATGTTTGGGAATAGATTTATTTTTTCCCCTGTAATTCTTTTTATTGTGTGTGTGTTTACACACGTATGCCTTAAAGGAGCAGAGAGATAGCCTAAGTGTGTTCTGTGTTGGTTGCTTTTTATGGCTTGCTCTAATACAAATATACATGTAGAAAGGCATGGGTGATTTGTATGTAATATGTACATTTAGATATATGGCTGGAACTCAAAGGTAGTTCAATGCAGAGCAAGATGGTGGGGACTTAGGGATTTCGATTTCTTTTTAATTTCTTTTGAGATATGAAGTAAGTGATATAGGCAATCTCCAACTTTGATGTTTAGCTTCAAGTGAAATTAACTACTTTGTTTATTTTATTGAAGTGCAAAATAAATAACAGCTTACCTTTGTGTAATCTACATGTGCTGGGGAGATATGCTGCTGTATTTCTTAAGTAACATATCTGGCAGAGGTTTTCTTTTAGATTAGTAGTGAGCTTAATTGGCACAGCCATATGAACTTCCTTAAATATTTAGTACATTGCCTACCAAAATGCACCTTCTAGATGCAGAAGAGATTTTTCTCACCTTGGTGCGTGACAAATCTGAAGTGACAGGTAGTAATAAAGGAGTTGTAAAGAACAAAGTAATGGGGTGTAGGGGAGTTTATATATGTTTTTAAACCAGGTTGCTTTCTGGTTCTTTAGTGCATAAAATGTTTAATTCTGTGATTCCTGAATATGAATTTATCAGATTTGTATAGATAACAGCTGAATGATACAAGTGAGTGCATGGAGCGTTTGATTCATGTTTTTTGTTTGTGTTGGAAGGAGTGAGTTTATTCAAGGGCTGCAGCCTGATTGATTTTGAAGAACAGCATCCTTTTCTCGGAGATCTCTGAAAGAAGATGCAGAAGTGGCTGTAAAGGTATCTAGGAAATCTGGTGTCAAGGAGGCTGTTCCTGGTGTACAGAAAAGGGCAGAAAAGGCCATGTGAAGAAAACAAGGAAACACAGTTTCAAGCCTGGGGAATAGCAGACTTTGGGTAGCACAGTTTTTTGCGTGTGTGTACATGTGCATATGAGGATCTGTTTTATGCTGTAAGATACTCATTCTGTTAAAAACGTGATCTATATAATCTCTTGTTTCTTTAAGCATTTCCATGTAATGTGACACCTTTAGACAACAGATCTGTGTAATTCTTAGAAATGAGTACATTTATTCTTGCACGTAACTGTTAGTATTAAATTGACGTGAGCCTTAAAACTCTTCTGTAGTTTGCATTCAGAATGGGAACACAGGTGCAAGTGGAAAGGAAGGATGTTACAAAATTGAACGTTGTAAGGAAGAAAATTAACCCCTCCCCCTGCAATTTTGTAAGAGGAAATAGTATGTGGAGAGCTGTGTAGAAGATGAGTAAAAGCTGCTATTATAGTAAAAGGCTCAGGAAAGGGATTTAAGCAATTGTGTTCCCTAAGCAAAGTGTATGTGTGCTGAACCTAATATGTTTTATGACATATATGTGTTCTATATGGACTGGAGTGGTTAAAGAGCTAGCCAGCTGGATGGCTTCTCACAAGGTAAACCCAGTTATCAAATTCGTGAGTGGAATATTATCTAAAACTTCAGGTTTAAAAAAACACTTGTTTTATGTGATATTCTTGAGAAAGAAAATGCAAGCACATACAATCTGCTCTTTTGAAGAAGCCCATTGGAAATGTGGAGGCTAACTTCTCCAAAGTGTTCTCCAAAGCGCTTAGCTTTCTTGTGCTAAATTTGAGGCAAGCCAGTAAGTCATAACAGTAAACCTGAAAATACTGAGCTTATGAAGCACTTTATCTGAATATGAAACTAGCAATAGTGATATTTCAGCAGGTCAAAAAAAGTAATTTGATGCTGTACAAACTGGATAATTGAAGACCCATTTCTGCTACAACAGCATGTATTTCTGAGGTTTTGTCTGACAATACAGATTATCTTAGAACAGTAATTTTGAAGAAGTTTGTAGATATGGGAGACTAGAAGCTGATTTTTATTTTGTTTGTACCACCTATTCATTTACATTTAGCTAACTTTCAAAGAACTGTAAGAGAGAAACATTCTGTCATTTGGTTCACGTATTTTAAGTTTTTGTGAAGTGTTGGAGCCATGGATAGATCATCTGTTTTTTCCATTGGTCTTTCATGTTTGTTTGCTGTCCGTGTTGCTGCTACGTGCCCTTTCCAAGGGGAGAGTGGCTTCCCCCCATTAGGAAGCAGGTGCCACGGAGTAATAGCTGCAGAGAACAGAGGTACTTAAATTAGGTGTGACTGTAACATGGCATAATTTTGTGATTAGGATAGCTGTGACGGCGTTCTGTGATGTGTGCTGCTGCAGGTATTTTGTGTCTGGCTATGTGTTTCAGGAACAGCAATTAACTCCAAAATAGGAAGTCTGACGGAGTTACCAGTATGCGGCCAGCTATTTAGCCTAGAACATTGCAGAGAATTGGGGAAATGCTGTTTTGACGCCCTGATGAATCACCAATTTCTTTGAGCCTTAATCTTTTCTAACACTCATTTGCTGTGGAGGGCTGGGCTGCGCGTATTCTGGATCCTGTCAGTCCAGCTCCTTAATGGGTAGCTGAATGATGTAATACAAAAGGAATCATTCGTTCATAAGCTGAATGGATTGCCGCCGCCTCTGTGCTTCCAGCAGCTCTGTTGTCCGCATAAGGCTATTGGCATGTAAGGAGCTGGTGTCCCCAAAAGTATATCCTACAGAGGTTTGTTCAGGATTGCCTTTGTATCGTAGCCATCTCAAATTCAATATACGTATGTGCAGCTGTTGTACCTTAGCACAACTTTCTGTTACGGATGGATGTAAATGGAGACAGATACACGGATGTCTGCATGTATCTGCCATGGTAACTTATGTTGTTAGACTTAGAAAGGCTTTGTCTCTCAGGGACTTCTTGGAAGTCCTTACTGCTTACGCTTTTAAAACTGCACATAAGCTGATAGTAGTGTAAAGACTTAAGAAATTAGTCCTTCAGATGCTGTCAGTAATTCATGTGGTACGGTACAACGTACTGTGTTTTGAGCACAGTTGTAGAATGTAGCTTTCCATCTAAAGCTTACTTCTCAAGCTGTGATGGGCTTCTTGCAAGTCAGTTTAAATACTGAATCATTTATATATGTAAAGCTTTTTCACATTCTCTTACACAAGGTATTTTCTCTTTGCTTAATTAATTCTCCCTCAATTTCATACTGGTTCTGCCCTGCTAGACTCTGGAAAGTGACAGTGGAGAAGTATTAATACTGTATTGAGGGCATTTGTGAGACAGATTCCATCTGTCCTGGTAATGATGTTACAGACTCACGTGACAAAATTGCAGACTTCTGTTATTCCATGGAAGATATTTCTCTGCAGATCGAACCTTCTGCATCTATTTTCAAGTATTTTATTATTGTAGGATGTCAGTCTCAGGAAATGAAGCGTTACCTAAATAGCAGCTGTATCAA